ATAACAAATTAGTTGTTGAACTCACTGGTAGAAATTGGAAGTCGGGTATGTTTTATACAATTCTAAGTCGTACAAGAAAATTAAGTGATATTATAATCTTGGCATATGATCGTAAATCTTTCAAAGTAATTGTTTTTTCGTAATTATCTATCAACAAGTATTCGTCTATAAGGTATCTAAAGTTGCACTTAATGAAATGTATCGTCTTGAAACAATTGAAAAAGATTACCCGATTAATATTGAACAATATTTAAGAACTGAAGTAAAATATTTTTCTTCTCTAACCATAACAGTTCATATCTTACTGTAGAGATATATTGTTTGGTGTCTGCCTCATTCCTATGATATTGATAAACCTTCATCGATAACATCAAAAAGAAGTACTGAATCAATATCAGAGCATGTTAATATTAAACAATTTAAACTTGAAAAGTCACATTCATTTACAAGAAAATCTAAAATAAAACCTCAAAACATCATTATCTGTGAACAACAACAAGAAAATTATTATGGTCGACATGTTCTACGTGCAGTTTCTCAACGACTTGACTTATTTAGTGATGAATATTTAAAGGAAGTTGCTGAACATATAGCAGCTACTGAGCAAATATTACAACATGAAATCGCAGTAAATGTTACAGATTATTATTATGAAAATACTGGAGATTATAATACTGAAATACTAAAAGTTGCTCTTAGAAATGTATTCAGTATTGAATTTATACAAATTAATACATTAGAAACAAATACTAATTCTGAACAAAGTCTAATTCTATCTAATATTCACAATGTTCAAGCATTAATTATTTAACAAAATAATCATTATTATTGTTTACGTCGTTTTCGATTGACAAAAGATTATTTTTTCAAAATAGATTCCAAGTTTCCATTATATCAGGAACCTATTCATCATGAACATATATTGAACTTTCTTCGTGCTCTTCTAGCAAATCACTCAAACATCTACGTACTTGTGCATTATACTTCGGATCATGCTGATGATCAACTTTCTATAGATAATATCGAAACAAGAGTATGGCCATTGCCAGATTCACCAGCTGATCTAGAGTGTTTACTAGATTTACATGAAACTCAATAAATAATAGATATAAACGCCACTAATTTAATCGTATGTAAAAAAGGAACAAAGAAATTACCAATTAAATGCTTTATTTAAAATTCTTAAACAACAAGTAACGCTTGTCTGCGGACTCGCTCAGCTCTTTCTCGTAGAAATCGTATTCTACAATACTAAACTTTTTGCTTATACAGTTTGGAAAAATTAACATCAGATTTGTGTTCTTCCACCCCACTTACCCTTCGGTCACCCCTTATGAAAATTTTTTTTTTTATAAAAATTGGTTCTCTCCCTAAAAAAGTGATCCATAAATTTATTTTATAAAACTAACATCAGATTCGAAGTCTCCGCATCGAAATGCCCCAAAAATGTCTTTTCGAAAAAATCGATTCTTGAACTACCCTCTGGTAAAACTTTCTTGGAACTATCTTTAAGATTAACAATATTCATTAATTATTAATTGATTTTTAACTAAAATTAACTTCACATTCGAATTCTTGGCACTCGATTACCCTTCGGTTAAACTTTTTTCAAAAATTAATAATGTCAATTATTAACTGATTATTAACTAATTAATTTTAATAAATCAATCTTAGATTCGAGTTCTCCATACACGATTACCTTTTGGCAAAACTTTTCCGAAAGTATTTCAAAAACTAATAATATTAGTTATTAACTAATTATTAATTGATTGTTAACTAAAAATAACCTCAGATTTGGATTCTCCACACTCGATTACCCTTTGGTAAAACTTTACCCGAACATATAATTATTATTATTATTAACTGATTATTAACTAATTAATTTTAATAAACTAACCTCAGATTCAAGTTCCCTGCCCTCGATTACCCTCCAGTCAAAGTTTTCCGGAAGTATCTGAAAACTTAAATTTGAATATTTTTTTGACCTTGCGGACATACAAGCAAGCAAGCAAGCAAGCAAGCAAGCAAGCAATCAGTCAGACAATTTATGTTTACTAGACTCTTCTCTACGAGAAAGAGAAAAGGAAATTGTAATAGTTCATTTGCTTTTTATTTAATTATTCAAATATAATTATATGATATTCATAATCATAATAGATAACAAAACAATTCTAAAAAATAAAATAAAATTATGATGGAGAAACATCTAAAGTCATATCTCTTACATATTTATTAACGATGCTCTAATTCTTTCAACTTTGAGTGTAATATTAAAATTATTTGATTCAGCTGTGATGTTCATTTTCTATGATCTGAAAACTCATAAATTATTGACGAAATTAAAGATAAAGTATTGCTTACATTATTCAAATAATTAATCATGAAATTAAAGATACGAAAATAGTAATGATGCTGTATGTGTATTTTATCAGAATGTAATTGATAAGCTCTTATAAGAAAATTTATAACATTAAAATTTATTTGATATGATAATTGATATAAGCGATTATTATACAATTGTATGTTCGATGTTAATTTAATTTTATTCCAAAATTTACTAGTAGTTTTCAAACAAGGAAAACATAATGGTATAATAATACGTTGACGTGGATTAAATTGAGGATATACTTGTCGAAGAAAAAAAATAATTTCTTCAATTTGAGAAATAATTGTAGATGCACGAAAAATTCTAGTTGAGTTAGTTCCAAGCAACAACAAAACTCCATCAACTTGAGATAACAAAAGTTGAATTTCAGATGTAAATAATAAATGAAATAATGAGAGGTTTTTTTTATCATAATCTTTAAATTTTAAACCTGAAATAGACTTGGTGATTAACGAATATGATGATGTTGAAAAATTTGATGGCATGTATCGAACATGACTGTCACCTAATACAAGGAATTTCATTGAAAAGATAGAATAAATATTCTATCTTAGTATTAATTTTTTTTTATAATTGATTTCAAGTAATAGTAAAATTACGCGCGCAAAACAAAGAAATAAATAAAATTGAATTTTTTATTCGATTAAAAAAGTATCCAATACAGATATAGCCAATCGAGGAGTAGCGTGTATAAATTATATTGTCTGATTATATTAGTTCATTAGTTGATATTAGTCGTATTTCGATGTAGATATAACATCAAAAAATTATTTAGTTAAAAAAAATGTTATATATCATACATACACAGCATGAGATAATCACATTTTTTTATTTACAATTGATGTTTAAATAAAAGCAAAGTAACTTTACAGAAATTAAAACACTTCGTTCATAGATTATACAATCAGTATTGATCGTATCATACTTAAAATAGAAGATAATAATATCATTCTATTAATCTTCATAATTTATTCAAATTCTAGATAATCTATATATTTTTAATGAAAAATTTTTTGTTTCAAAAATAAACGTAGATACTACTGTTATCATCATGAATCAAATCCACATCTATGTATAGATGTAAAAAAATAGATCAAAAAATAACAGTATAAAATATAACAATTATTCAATTTAAAAATAAATTGCTCAAAAATAGCAAATTATTAATTTATGCACTATAAAATTTAATGCATTTGACTTTATACGATACAGAACTATCGTCAATGCCATAGTTATTTAACTAAAATGTTACATACAAAAGTTCAACCATTAGATATTATTACGAGGAGTCAACTTAGATAATTAACACAAAAAAGTTAGGTTTATTTTTCGAATATTCAATATTTGAAGTTTCATATACATTATAGTTCGCAAAGACGTAAAAAAGATGAAAAATAATCATGTCAAATATTATCGACAATAGATCGAGCGTGGTATCAATGAAAAATTTGATGTTCTTATGAAGAAAATATTGTCATACAGTTTTCAAAATAAATAATCTTCAAAAATATGAATTTATCATTGATAATTATTATTTATAATCGACATTATAACGTAGTCAAACAAACCTAAGTATATTATAAAGCTATTATTTCTTTGACGTTTAATCTTGACAACACACTGTACTTTTTTCTCATTTCATCTAATTATAGTCTCGATGTAACTACTATATTGTTTCGTATACTTAACATTCTCATTATACATGTTTTAAGTCGACCTATAAAATTAAATAGGGAAATCGTAACAATTAATAATAATACATAAACGAATGTAAAACCAATTTGAATATAATATTTTAATAGATGAGTAAAAACTTCATACAAGAAAATATTTCATAACGTAAACTACTTATAATCATAATCAAAACAAATGTCACTACGTCCAAGCATTTTCAATTCTCACTTAGCACAAATTAAAGTATTTGTTGTCATTCCTCGCTTATTCATTTCTCTAACATATTCAACTAATTTAAAAGGCATCATACTCAACCATATTGGAAGTTCATAAAAACAAAATGATATATAAATTCCAAAGAAAAAAAATCTCAAACATATTCGACATATTCGCTTATGAAGATTAAATTTTATTTTATTCATTGAAATAAATGAAACATCATATATAAATAGGTATATCCATATTAGACAGATACATAAACATTGAAATTTGGTTAATTGACTACATCTGTTAATATCTACCGTTCACAATGCACGATTTCTTCATTTTTAGTTAGTCGACAATACAAAAAAAATTAATTTATGTATATGTAATGTATTATATTATATTATGAATATGCATAATAATAGCAAGGTTTTTTTTACAGAAGTAATTCTCTATAACAACAATAAATACATTGTCTCAAATTTATTGAACATATAATTTTTAGTCGTATATCTTCACTTTAAAATTTATAATGATTGAATGAGAAGTGTGTTTTATTGACATAATCGAAATCGATTATTTTTAGAAAAAACAAATAGATAAATTCTCATAAATATATGTATATAAATAATCTTATTATCTATGTACTGATTTAACATATGTAAAAAAAATAAATTATTAGACTGGTATTAATAATCGATTCAAAAATCATTAATAAAAATTAATTTAATAAACTGTCTTACATGTTGAAAAATAAATATTGCATCAAATGATATAGGGATGATTTTTTATAAATCAAGACAAATAATTCAATGAGGTTAAAATAGAAACAATGGCATACAATATTATGATAAACATTCATGGTATTGATAGTTTATACAATCATTTATTAAACATTTTTTAATCTTAGATATTTGATAATGCAATAATTCCACGTGTTAATATATTATGAGAAAACTCATTGATTTAAGTTAATTCATTTAACAAAATTTACTACATCATACTTTTTATCTGATTGATTAAAAATAAAATCATTAAAATTATTTTATTATAATAAAACTTTCTTTTACAAAAATAAATTGTATATTCAAAATAATATGACATACTACGTTATAAATCTTCTTTTTATCTGCGTGTAATAAAAATAACATCTGAAAAGTGACTAAAGATGAGATAAAGATAATATTTATATCGATTCTGAAAGTTTCAATTAAGTTCGTTGTTTTTTTCATATCTTTGACAATTTTGTGATGTCATTGACTTCTCATGTAATAATGACCACTTTAGTACTTACAGTATCATTAAAAATAACAGTAATATTTTCATTTTAACTGATCATGACATATATTCAATCTTGTTTGCAGCATTAACTGTTTCTTATCTTTTTTATTTTTCTATTTTGAAAGAGAAATAATAGATTAACAGTAAAAAGAAAAAAAATTTGTTTATATGTTTGTAGATGGGTTAAGATTTCTCCATAAAAATTTTATGTAAATAAAAGAAATTATTTTTCACTATTATCATAGGCAATATTAGAAAATTATTAA